CAATAAAGAGTATCGGGAAACTCACGGATCAAAAGAAGCAGCAGAAAAGTCCAGCGCATCGTGAACTGAAAGCACAAGTTAATTTAAATGTGCAATATCACAGGGAAATCATACGGGGCACTGATAATAACACAATGTGTTACGGATGTAAAAACTCTCACACGGTACACACTTTTATAACCACCTGAACTCACGACGAAGAGAGAGAGAGACCAGAGATATCAAATCTGCTGGATATAGGTTTGAGGGATAAAGAAGTACCAGAGAGAGACTAGAGTAAGACTAGAGAGAGACTAAAGAAGGAGACCAGAGACTAAAGAAGGAGACCAGAGAGAGACTAGAGGGAGACCAGAGACTAAAGAAGGAGACCAGAGAGAGACTAGAGGTAGACCAGAGAGATACCAGAGAATGAGACCGGAGAGAGAGACCAAAGAGAGACCAGAGAGAGACTAGAGGGAGAGACTAGAGGGAGAGACTAGAGGGAGACTAGAGAGAGACAAGAGGGAGAGACTAGAGAAAGAGACTAGAAGGAGATCAGAGAGAGACTAGAGAAAGAGACCAGAGACAGACTAGAGGTAGACCAGAGAGATGCCAGAGAATGAGACCGGAGAGAATGACCAAAGAGAGACCAGAGAGAGACTAGAGGGGAGACTAGAGGGAGACTAAAGAAGGAGACCAGAGAGAGACTAGAGGGGAGACCAGAGAGAGACTAGAGAAAGAGACCAGAGATAGACTACAGGTAGACCAGAGAGATGCCAGAGAATGAGACCGGAGAGAGAGACCAGAGAAAGAGACAACAGAGAGATACAAGAAAGACCAGCGGGAGACCAGAGAGAGATCGTGTTAGTCCTTTGAACTAATCACCGCGTTTCTCCTGCTTTTAAATAAAGATATCTATCATGTTATTCTAGCGTTGCATGTTATATATGATGTTTTAACGTACACACACTGTAAAAAACTAGACTACCCACACAAATACAGTGAGGACACAAAAGGCCACTTACAGTCGGGACCACTGCACTGTGAAGATATACGGAAATATGAGAAAAGTACTCACCTGCCTTCTCTGCAGAAGATCTGTTTGAGTATCTCACAAACAAACCTCTCCTTAAATATCAAATATCTTGCTTATAATTTACGTACGCAAACAAAAAATATCCAAATCGAGTCCGAGCGAGTTACTTCCCCTTGGATCTATCAGCAGCTTATCTCAGGTTTATGAAAATACCTGCGCAACCATGAAAACGGGAAGTAAAAAAAAAAGTCTGTACTCGATTGTGTTCGATGCAAAACAGGGAGAAAGAACGACATCATAAAAACAACTGGAGATAGAGCTTCTCTGGGTCGTGTTTGTGGAGCTGCGAGCCTCTCACAGATACATGTTTTTATACTTTTTCAGTGTAAAGAAATAGTCACAGGCTGAAATTTGAGTCTATTGTTTTTAGGTAGAAAAGAAACCAGATGTGGTTTACTTCCGTAGACCCTATATTGTGACATCACCGCTCATTAAAAGCAGCAGAAGCAGCTTTCTTCAGACCATCCATCACAACCATTCTTTCTTTCAACGCAAATAGACTCAAAACAAGTCCTTAAAACCCTCAGTTAGTCTGTGTTGCCAAATACTAAAACAAATTGAACTTTAGAAAAACCTATTACTTCCCTGAGACTACTGCCAGACAACTTTGTTCATCCATGCGACTCAATGAGCTTTAAAGAACTGGCACTCAATCTATATAAAGTAAGAAACCATATGCATTGTAAATACGTTTTACATCAAGGAGTCACAGCTTCCCGCCGTGAATAATCCTCATTAATTAACCAATCAGCTCGCGGGCTACTTTACAATCTCTGGGCGGCGTGTACTCGAGGTGGAGTGTTACCAGGGTAAGAGAGACTAGAGAGAGAGACCAGAGAGAGACCAGAGAGAGACCAGAGAGAGACTAGAGAGAGACCTGGGTAAGAGAGACCAGAGAGAAACTAGAGAGAGACCAGAGAGAGACCAGAGAGAGACTAGAGAGACTAGAGAGAGACCAGAGAGAGACTAGAGAGAGACCAGACTAGAGAGAGACCAGAGAGAGACTAGAGAGAGACTAGAGAGAGACCAGAGAGAGAGAGACTAGAGAGAGACCAGAGAGAGAGACGAGAGAGACTAGAGAGAGACTAGAGAGAGACTAGAGAGAGACTAGAGAGAGACCAGAGAGAGAGAATAGAGAGAGACTAGAGAGAGAGAGACTAGAGAGAGACTAGAGAGAGACCAGAGAGAGACTAGAGAGAGACCAGAGAGAGACTAGAGAGAGACTAGAGAGAGACCAGAGAGAGACCAGAGAGAGACTAGAGAGAGGATAGAGAGAGACCAGAGAGAGACCAGAGACTAGAGAGAGACCAGAGAGAGACTAGAGAGAGGCCAGAGAGAGACTAGAGAGAGACCAGAGAGAGACCAGAGAGAGACTAGAGAGACCAGAGAGAGACTAGAGAGAGACCAGAGAGAGACCAAAGAGAGACCAGAGAGAGACTAGAGAGAGACCAGAGAGAGACTAGAGAGAGACTAGAGAGAGACTAGAGAGAGACTAGAGAGAGACCAGAGAGAGACTAGAGAGAGACCAGAGAGAGACCAAAGAGAGACCAGAGAGAGACCAGAGAGAGACTAGAGAGAGACCAGAGAGAGACCAGAGACTAGAGAGAGACCCAGAGAGAGACCAGAGAGAGACTAGAGAGAGACCAGAGAGAGACCAGAGAGAGACTAGAGAGAGACCAGAGAGAGACCAGAGAGAGACCAGAGAGAGACTAGATAGAGACCAGAGAGAGACGAGAGACTAGAGAGAGACCAGAGAGAGACCAGAGAGAGACCAGAGAGAGACCAGAGAGAGACCAGAGAGAGACCAGAGAGAGACTAGAGAGACACCAGAGAGAGACCAGAGAGACTAGAGAGAGACTAGAGAGAGACTAGAGAGAGACTAGAGAGAGACTAGAGAGAGACCAGAGAGAGACAAGAGAGAGACCAGAGAGAGACTAGAGACAGACCAGAGAGAGACTAGAGAGAGGCTAGAGAGAGACCAGAGAGAGACCAGAGAGAGACCAGAGAGAGACCAGAGAGAGACCAGAGAGAGGCTAGAGAGAGACTAGAGAGAGACCAGAGAGAGACCAGAGCGAGACTACAGAGACCAGAGAGAGACCAGAGAGAGAACAGAGAGAGGCTAGAGAGAGACCAGAGAGGCTAGAGAGAGACTAGAGAGAGGCCAGAGAGAGGCCAGAGAGAGACTAGAGAGAGACCAGAGACAGACCAGAGAGGATAGAGAGAGACCAGAGAGAGACTAGAGAGAGACCAGAGAGAGACTAGAGAGAGACTAGAGAGAGACCAGAGAGAGACTAGAGAGAGACCAGAGAGAGACCAAAGAGAGACCAGAGAGAGACCAGAGAGAGACTAGAGAGAGACCAGAGAGAGACCAGAGACTAGAGAAGAGAGACCAGAGAGAGACCAGAGACTAGAGAGAGACCAGAGAGAGACCAGAGAGAGACTAGAGAGAGACCAGAGAGAGACCAGAGAGAGACCAGAGAGAGACTAGATAGAGACCAGAGAGAGACGAGAGACTAGAGAGAGACCAGAGAGAGACCAGAGAGAGACCAGAGAGCGCAGAGAGAGACCAGAGACTAGAGAGAGACCAGAGAGAGACCAGAGAGAGACTAGAGAGAGACCAGAGAGAGACCAGAGAGAGACCAGAGAGAGACCAGAGAGAGACCAGAGACTAGAGAGACCAGAGAGAGACCAGAGAGAGACCAGAGAGAGAGAGAGACCAGAGAGAGACCAGAGAGAGACTAGAGAGAGACCAGAGAGAGACCAGAGAGAGACCAGAGAGAGACTAGATAGAGACCAGAGAGAGACGAAGACTAGAGAGAGACCAGAGAGAGACCAGAGAGAGACCAGAGACTAGAGAGAGACCAGAGAGAGACCAGAGAGAGACTAGAGAGAGACCAGAGAGAGACCAGAGAGAGACCAGAGAGAGACCAGAGAGAGACCAGAGAGAGACCAGAGAGAGACCAGAGAGACTAGAGAGAGACTAGAGAGAGACCAGAGAGACTAGAGAGAGACTAGAGAGAGACCAGAGAGAGACAAGAGAGAGACCAGAGAGAGACTAGAGAGAGACTAGAGATAGACCAGAGAGAGACTAGAGATAGACCAGAGAGAGACTAGAGAGAGGCTAGAGAGAGACCAGAGAGAGACCAGAGAGAGACCAGAGAGAGACCAGAGAGAGACCAGAGAGAGGCTAGAGAGAGACTAGAGAGAGACCAGAGAGAGACCAGAGCGAGACTAGAGAGACCAGAGAGAGACCAGAGAGAGAACAGAGAGAGGCTAGAGAGAGACCAGAGAGAGACTAGAGAGAGACCAGAGAGAGACAAGAGAGAGACCAGAGAGAGACTAGAGAGAGACTAGAGATAGACCAGAGAGAGACTAGAGATAGACCAGAGAGAGACTAGAGAGAGGCTAGAGAGAGACCAGAGAGAGACCAGAGAGAGACCAGAGAGAGACCAGAGAGAGACCAGAGAGGCTAGAGAGAGACTAGAGAGAGACCAGAGAGAGACCAGAGCGAGACTAGAGAGACCAGAGAGAGACCAGAGAGAGAACAGAGAGAGGCTAGAGAGAGACCAGAGAGGCTAGAGAGAGACTAGAGAGAGGCCAGAGAGAGGCCAGAGAGAGACTAGAGAGAGACCAGAGACAGACCAGAGAGGATAGAGAGAGACCAGAGAGAGACTAGAGAGCAAGAGATGGTGAAGAAAGAAACAGAAGAGGCTCCGTGCAAAAGGACAGAGAGAGAGGCCAGAGAGAGCAGAGAGAGAGAGAGCCGGGAGAGACCAGAGAGAGCAGAGAGAGAGAGCAGAGAGAGAGAGCAGAGAGAGAGACCAGAGAGAGAGACCAGAGAGAGAGACCAGAGAGAGAGGCCAGAGAGAGAGCAGAGAGAGTGAGACAGAGAGAGAGCCCAGAGAGAGCAGAGAGAGAGAGAGCCGAGAGAGACCAGAGAGAGCAGAGAGAGAGCAGAGAGAGAGACCAGAGAGAGAGACCAGAGAGAGAGGACAGAGAGAGAGACCAGAGAGAGAGATACAGAGAGAGAGCAGAGAGAGCAGAGAGAGAGAGAGCCGAGAGAGACCAGAGAGAGCAGAGAGAGAGAGCAGAGAGAGACCAGAGAGAGAGGACAGAGAGAGAGAGAGAGAGAGAGCAGAGAGAGCAGAGAGAGAGAGAGCAGAGAGAGACCAGAGAGAAAGGACAGAGAGAGAGACCAGAGAGAGAGAGACAGAGAGCAGAGAGAGCAGAGAGAGAGAGCAGAGAGAGAGACCAGAGAGAGACCAGAGAGAGAGGACAGAGAGAGAGACCAGAGAGAGACCAAAGAGAGAGACCAGAGAGAGAGACCAGAGAGAGACCAGAGAGAGACCAGAGAGAGACCAGAGAGAGACCAGAGAGAGACCAGAGAGAGACCAGAGAGAGAGACCAGAGAGAGACCAGAGAGAGACCAGAGAGAGACCAGAGAGAGACCAGAGAGAGAGACCAGAGAGAGACCAGAGAGAGACCAGAGAGAGACCAGAGAGATCAGAGAGAGACCAGAGAGAGACCAGGGAGAGACCAGAGAGAGACCAGAGAGACACCAGAGAGAGACCAGAGAGAGAGCAGAGATAGAGCAGAGAGAGACCAGAGAGAGACCAGAGAGAGACCAGAGAGAGACCAGAGAGAGAATAGAGAGAGAGACCTGGGAGGCCAGAGAAAGAAACCAGGTAGATACCAGAGAGATAGAGACCTAAAAGAGAGAGACTGACTTTAAATAAATGTAACCGGCCTGCTATACTCTCGCCCTCTCTCTGGATCCACTGAAATCCCAGGGAGTTTTTTTAGTTTCTTGCAGAAAAGCTGAAGACATTTCCTTCCTGTTCAGTCCATGTTGCATCAGTCTCTAACGTCTCCTTTAAACCCTAAAGTAAAAGAGAGTTTGTGAGGAGTATTTCCGAGGTCCAACTAGTGGGGGACTTTTTGGATTGGAGCGTCTTGTCAAAGTGAGGCTGATGTGAAGTGACAGAGTTTGTGGGGAACAGGAGCCGGAAGAGAGCGGCTAAAATAACACCACACACAGGAGGAGGGTCTCTCTCCTTCTACACAGAACAACCAGGGACGAGCTTAGAGACGGATTTAAACTCACAGTGGGACTGTGCAATAACACGCACACACACACAGGAGTTAATCCAGCTGGACTCTGTACATGCACAGTTACGAAAGTGTTTGGCCCCCTTGAACCTTTCAACATTTCGCCACATTTCAGGCTTCAAACATAAAGACATAAAATAAAAAAAATTTGTCAACAACAAGTGGGACACAATTGTGAAGTGGAACGAAATTTATTGGATAATTTAAACTTTTTTAACAAATAAAAAACTGAAAAGTGGGGCGTGCAATATTATTTGGCCCCTTTACTTTCAGTGCAGCAAACTCAGTCCAGAAGTTCAGTGAGGATCTTTGAATGATCCAATGTTGTCCTAAATGACTGATGATGATAAATAGAATGCACCTGTGTGTAATCAAGTCTCCGTATAAATGCACCTGCTCTTTGATAGTCTCAGGGTTCTGTTTAAAGCACAGAGAGAACCATGAAGACAAAGGAACACACCAGGCAGGTCCGAGATACTGTTGTGGAGAAGTTTAAAGCCGGATTTGGATACAAAAAGATTTCCCAAGCTTTAAACATCTCAAGGAGCACTGTGCAAGCAATTATATTGAAATGGAAGGAGTATCAGACCACTGCAAATGTACCAAGACCCGGCCGTCCCTCCAAACTTTCATCTCAAACAAGGAGAAGACTGATCAGAGATGCAGCCAAGAGGCCCATGATCACTCTGGATGAACTGCAGATAACTACAGCTGAGGTGGGAGAGTCTGTCCATAGGACAACAATCAGTCGTGCACTGCACAAATCTGGCCTTTATGGAAGAGTGGCAAGAAGAAAGCCATTTCTCAAAGATATCCATAAAAAGTCTCGTTTAAAGTTTGCCACAAGCCACCTGGGAGACACACCAAACATGTGGAAGAAGGTGCTCTGGTCAGATGAAACCAAAATGGAACTTTTTGGCCACAATGCGAAACGATATGTTTGGCGTAAAAGCAACACAGCTCATCACCCTGAACACACCATCCCCACTGTCAAACATGGTGGTGGCAGCATCATGCTTTGGGCCTGCTTTTCTTCAGCAGGGACAGGGAAGATGGCTAAAATTGATGGGAAGATGGATGGAGCCAAATACAGGACCATTCTGGAAGAAAACCTGTTGGAGTCTGCAAAAGACCTGAGACTGGGACGGAGATTTATCTTCCAACAGGACAATGATCCAAAACATAAAGCCAAATCTACAATGGAATGGTTCACAAATAGACGTATCCAGGTGTTAGAATGGCCAAGTCAAAGTCCAGACCTGAATCCAATCGAGAATCTGTGGAAAGAGCTGAAGACTGCTGTTCACAAACGCTCTCCATCCAACCTCACTGAGCTCCAGCTGTTTTGCAAGGAAGAATGGGAAAGAATTCCAGTCGCTTGATGTGCAAAACTGATAGAGACATACCCCAAGCGACTTGCAGCTGTAATTGCAGCAAAAGGTGGCGCTATAAAGTATTAGCGCAAGGGGCCGAATAATATTGCACGCCCCACTTTTCAGTTTTTTATTTGTTAAAAAAGTTTAAATTATCCAATAAATTTTGTTCCACTTCACGATTGTGTCCCACTTGTTGTTGATTCTTGAGAAAAGCTTGAAATGTGGCGAAATGTTGAAAGGTTCAAGGGGGCTGAATACCTTCGCAAGGCGCTGTAAATAGACTTTGACTCTAGCTTTGACCTGGAGTTGATTTTAGATCCATCCATCCCTTTTCTTTCCCTTAATCCATTTCTGGGTTGGGGGGGTGGCAGTCTCTGACTGGCCAGATCCTTGTAGTTCTCTGAGCTTCACAGGGTCTGGGACTCCTTCAGTGAATGAATTTCAGAAGGCGGGCCTTGTCAAAAAATCCTTGTATGTGATTGGATAAACCACTTGTCTGTTATCTTGAATGACATGTTCCTTCAACCACTCCCGTCGAAGCACATGATTCAGTACAGGACTCCCATGGGTTGCCAAATACCAGCAAGATTTCCAGTCCCTGTGCTCCTCAGAGTCCCAGCAGGAGGCCAGTCCCTGTGCTCCGCAGAGTCCCAGCAGGAGACCAGTCCCTGTGCTCCGCACAGTCCCAGCAGGAGGCCAGTCCCTGTGCTCCGCAGAGTCCCAGCAGGAGGCCAGTCCCTGTGCTCCTCAGAGTTGGTTCCTATGTATTAGTCACAGATGTACTTTGGTACGAGGCCGTAGAGAAACACTAACAGCTGCTTTAAAGTCTATGTAAATTTCTCCTAACATGAAATTAAAAACTTTACTCAATCATTTATCATCGAGCCGAGAGAAATCCAAAAGCAAAATGACACCGACTCTACCCCTGTGCGACAATAACCAGCAGAAGAGAAACCAGCGCAGGCAAAGTTTGATTTAAGTGAGAGACGATTTGGCAATTTTGCAGAGAGCCGAGCTGCGAAGTCCAGACAGAAAATGTGTTTCTAAAAATACCTGTAATATGACGGTGAGCTATGCTTGTGATTCAGACCCTGTTGGTCTGATCGATCCTCAAAGTCCAAGAGAAGATTGCACGGCGTGGGCTACTTTTTTAACACGATTTGGACCGCCTTAAAAATTGCTTGTAGTTTTCATTGCGTCTCTATTTCTCCTGCGGATGTGACTCTGAAAGTGTGACCAAAACTCACCGGTCCCAGAGCCAGGTCTAAGTACAGGCCCGACTGGACCCGGGCAGACTATCCATCTCTGTCATGGAGGCCCAAGTTTGGACTCACTTCAAGGCCGGGATCAGTGCTCAAGGGGGGAAGGGGCAGGCGAGAGGGCCCAGGGGAGACAGGGCGGGCAGGGGAGAGGGGGAGAGACAGGGGAGAGGAAGGGGGAGCTAGGGGAGGCAGAAAAGAGGGGGGAGATAGGGGGAGGCAGGGGAAGGTAGAGGAAGACAGGGGGGTAAAGGAGAGGGGGAGGCAGAGGAAGGTAGAGGAAGACAGGGGGGTAAAGGAGAGGGGGAGGCAGGGGGAGACAGAGGAAGACGGGGGAGGCAGAGGAGAGGGGGAGGCAGGGGAAGGTAGAGGAAGACAGCGGGGGTAAAGGAGAGGGGGATGCAGGGAGAGACAGAGGAGCCAGAGGTCCAGGTAATGTGTGTGGCTTTTGGATTCTGGCAGCGACACAGAACACAGAGCAGACTGTAGAGGCCTCACAGAGCAGACTGTAGAGGCCTCACAGAGCAGACTGCAGAGGCCTCACAGAGAAGACTGCAGAGGCCTCACAGAGAAGACTGCAGAGGCCTCACAGAGCAGACTGCAAAAGCCTCACAGAGAAGACTGCAGAGGCCTCACAGAGAAGACTGTAGAGGCCTCACAGAGCAGACTGCAGAGGCCTCACAGAGAAGACTGTAGAGGCCTCACAGAGCAGACTGTAGAGGCCTCACAGAGAAGACTGCAGAGGCCTCACAGAGAAGACTGTAGAGGCCACACAGAGCAGACTGTAGAGGCCTCACAGAGCAGACTGTAGAGGCCTCACAGAGAAGACTGTAGAGGCCTCACAGAGCAGACTGTAGAGGCCTCACAGAGAAGACTGCAGAGGCCTCACAGAGAAGACTGCAGAGGCCTCACAGAGAAGACTGCAGAGGCCTCACAGAGAAGACTGTAGAGGCCTCACAGAGCAGACTGTAGAGGCCTCACAGAGCAGACTGTAGAGGCCTCACAGAGCAGACTGTAGAGCAGGGGTGCTCAATACGTCGATCGCGATCTACCAGTCGATCGCAAAGGTAGTATTGGTAGATCGCATTAAATAAATAAAAAATTACACATTCTAAACGAATATATACAAAAAACTCCGGGCAAAGTGGAGATTTTTGAAAACTCCGTTAATGCATTTGTGTGTAGACAGAGATAACCGGAGTTTTGCGTTCTCGCACGCCACAGTACCCCCCTAAATTCCTCTGATCACTGAAGCATGGATCATACTACCTTAAAAACTGTTCGCTGTGAGATGCTCGCAGCAGCGAACATCCTCCACATCAGAGAGCAGCAAAGTGATCGCGGGGACTCACGCTCGAAAACAACCAAACCAGGACTAAACCAGGACTAAACCAGGACTAAACCAGGACTAAACCAGGGCTGAGGACGGGGTCAGTGCTTGTAAACATACGTCTTTACTCTGAGTGTCTTCTATGACTGTAAAAGTGCCGTTACCGGCGTCTGCATCAAAGCTCCGCCCACTTCTGTGTTTTTCCCCAACGCAGGACAGGACGTAAGAGACGCACATGTTTGGAATGTTACGAATGTGATTGATAACGCAGATGTGTGGATGCAAATTATTTTATAAACTGAGGAGGGGAAATATTTGGATAAAAAAAAAACAGGCATGGCACATGGACATGGCACCACAGTCAAATTACATCTGTGTTTTACTCAGTAATGTTTTACTGACACTACAGCCTAGTGTATACTCGCGCGGAGCTTACGGAGGTGACGTGACATCACTTGTGCAACGCGTTGGTCACCGCAAGGCCCTTACGTCGCCTGCCGCGCAGCATCGACATTTTCTAACTACGTAAGGGTCGCCGCAAGGAAGCTCCGCTGTGATTGGTCCGTGTGTGTGTATTGGAAGGAAGCACGGAGCGGCTGCAGCAGGAGCATGGACGAGGCTCTATGGAGCAGAGAGCCTGATATACAGGAGACTGTGGACTATCTAACATATATATAACTTATATCTAACATATATATAACTTATATCTAACATATATATAACTTATATCTAACATATATATAACTTATATCTAACATATATATAACTTATATCTAACATATATATAACTTATATCTAACATATATATAACTTATATCTAACATATATATAACTTATATCTAACATATATATAACTTATATCTAACATATATATAACTTATATCTAACATATATATAACTTATATCTAACATATATACACTCGTAAATCGTTCATGTTTGTCTCAGATATTTACCACTATTATTGTTTTGCTGTTTGTGCTGAAAACTATTGAATAATAACTATGTTTGCAACAAGAACTGTCTTTATTCACAGCATCACAGTTGAAATGACTTATAAAATAATGAATCCATAAAACTATCACATAAACCTACAGTAGAAACACGTGTAATGAGCTCAAACAGCTTTGTTTGTTATTGTTGTTCTGAAGAGGACAAAGTAGCAGCGTAAATGGGACCGCTCCTGTGTGATCGCCCTCATGTGGTTTGTTGTGGGATTACAACATTCTCCTCAAAACTCCGTAAGGGGAACGCGCCAGTATAACATCAATTGTGCTTACGTAGGTCCACCGCAACCGCTAACGTAAGCCACGCCGCGCAAGTATACACTAGGCTTTAGGTGACTGCACATGCGCAAACAACTGCGCTCAGTGCAGGAAAGCTAAACAACGACAAACTTGTCAGCGAGTTACCACCAATTTTCCGGACTATGCATCCCTGGCCGATTCAATTCAGTGCAAGTCATAAGAGTAAACTTGGGTAATGACAAAAAATGTACATAGGTAATTGTGTTGTGTTGTGCTATATTGGCTCATGCGGTTTTGCATGTACATAAACATACATTGTAGGTATAAAGAATATTTTTTGAAATAAATATATGGTTTGCATTTTTGTTGACTTGATCCTTTTATAAGTAGCTCGCATGCTGAAAAAGTGTGAGCACCCCTGCTGTAGAGGCCTCACAGAGCAGACTGCAGAGGCCTCACAGAGCAGACTGCAGAGGCCTCACAGAGCAGACTTCAGAGGCCTCACAGAGCAGACTGTAGAGGCCTCACAGAGCAGACTGCAGAGGCCTCACAGAGCAGACTTCAGAGGCCTCACAGAGCAGACTTCAGAGGCCTCACAGAGCAGACTGTAGAGGCCTCACAGAGCAGACTGTAGAGGCCTCACAGAGCAGACTGTAGAGGCCTCACAGAGCAGACTGCAGAGGCCTCACAGAGAAGACTGTAGAGGCCTCACAGAGAAGACTGTAGAGGCCTCACAGAGCAGACTGTAGAGGCCTCACAGAGCAGACTGTAGAGGCCTCACAGAGCAGACTGTAGAGGCCTCACAGAGCAGACTGTAGAGGCCTCACAGAGCAGACTGTAGAGGCCTCACAGAGCAGACTACAGAGGCCTCACAGAGCAGACTACAGAGGCCTCACAGAGCAGACTGCAGAGGCCTCACAGAGCAGACTGTAGAGGCCTCACAGAGAAGACTGTAGAGGCCTCGCAGAGCAGACTGTAGAGGCCTCACAGAGCAGACTGTAGAGGCCTCACAGAGCAGACTACAGAGGCCTCACAGAGCAGACTACAGAGGCCTCACAGAGCAGACTGCAGAGGCCTCACAGAGCAGACTGCAGAGGCCTCACAGAGCAGACTGTAGAGGCCTCACAGAGAAGACTGTAGAGGCCTCACAGAGCAGACTGTAGAGGCCTCACAGAGCAGACTGTAGAGGCCTCACAGAGCAGACTGTAGAGGCCTCACAGAGAAGACTGTAGAGGCCTCGCAGAGCAGACTGTAGAGGCCTCACAGAGCAGACTGCAGAGGCCTCACAGAGCAGACTGTAGAGGCCTCACAGAGCAGACTGCAGAGGCCTCACAGAGCAGACTGTAGAGGCCTCACAGAGCAGACTGCAGAGGCCTCACAGAGCAGACTGTAGAGGCCTCACAGAGCAGACTGCAGAGGCCTCACAGAGCAGACTGTAGAGAACAAACACTGGACACAGGACACTCAGGAGATCAGTTTCAGCGACAGACTTATCCACCCTCACTGTGCGAAGGAGAGGTTCTGCAGGTCTTTCCTTCCTGCTGCTGTCAGACTGTACAATAAACAATGAGGACTAACACTGCCAATCCTACCTCACATGTTGTGTCGAGCTGATACACAAAATTATGATAGTTGCGTCAATCAGAAGCTAACCAGTGCCTCGAACACAAAAGTACAGTTTACATAAAAACATGCTTATTAACCTAATCATCATGCAAATTAGATCACATTTGCATATTTAGCATGCTAACCATTGTTAACTAGCTAGTCTTCTTGTTGATTCAGGACCATTCAGCTAACTTCATATCCTGCAGATTTTTTTTTATTTCATATGAGGAAACTTAATATGCTTTTTGTTTCACAGTTTGAAAGTCGGTAAAAGAGCAAAAAACATGGTCCAAAACCGTACACCAACTCTGTTCACTAGATGCTAACTTCGAGTCGAGAGAGGGAGTGTTTTACCCACAATAGTTTGTTTTTTTCAGCTGGAGTTGAAGGTGGAGTGCTCGGCCAATAACACGGCTTTTGATTTTTACCGTTTTGCGTTAAAGACTAACAATACACTCTAAAATTAATGCAAACCAAGACTGCAAAAAGTCGTTTTGAGCACATTCTGACCGTCTTAAAAACAAGATTTACCAGTGGAATTACTTGTGGCTTATCTTGTTTTAATGTAGTCTAAAAGTGCTCAACTGAAGATACATTTTGCCAAATTTGAGCAATTTTTTAGTTATTTTGTACCACTTTTTGCAGTGACGGTAGTTATAAAACAATTAATCAGAGACAGATCTACTTAACCATCCACAGACTCCTTTAAGATGAGATTATACATAGATCTATGTAAAACCCATAACTATTGTTCTTTATTTTCATTTACCCTTTCTGTAAGGCTTTGTCTTTTATTTTTTATTTTTTTTTATTATTATTATTATTATTTTTTGTTTGTTTTTGTTTATTATTGTTTACATAAGACTATGTAAACACTGCGGCTTCTGTGGATGTTCATAACGGAGGAAGTTTGCCATATTATGTGTCTGTAAATAATGAAATGTTATTGATGCCTGGAGAATGGGGTGGGGGGGGTTAGCGGGGCTGGGTGTGTGCATGTGTGTGTGTGTGTGTGTTTGTGTATTTATGTTGGGATGGGTGGACCCATGGGAGGGAGGGGACAAAAATGTAAAATGTTTGCGCATTTGTTTTCTGTTCCGTGACCATTGTCATCTCTGTATGCAGCGCAACACAATAAATACTTGATCAAAAAAAAAAACAAAGATGAGATTTCACACTTGACAAATACACAAATCTGTTTAACCACAAAGAAGACAAGAATCATATCAAAACTCTTCCAACCTGCTTCTTCTCAAACCATCGAGTGTTTAACATTGTAGACCACACACTTTCCAAAAGCAAAGTTTGACCAATCATAAATCCAAGCAGCGAGTCAGGAGATGCTTCTTGAATGATAAAAGGGCCATAACTCACCAGAAAGACCCTGTAGGCGTCCTTCCTGGTGACGGGGCCCCAGCACGGGTCGGTGTCGTTGTACTTCACGCTCCCCGCGCTGCACGAGTGGTTCCCGCTGGAAAACAAACGGCTTCGTAAGAAAACAAGATAAGAAAGAAGAATCTGGCATTTGTTCACTGCAAAAAGAGAGGAGAATAAAGTAAAACATGTTAAAATTTGGGAAACGGTATCTTCTTTTGAGCACATTCTGGCTGCTTTAAAACGAGAGAAAAACACTTTGTTCATATTTTATTATTTTCTTTTCCTGTGGTATTGTTAAAACCCCTTGATCTTGCAGCTGGAACCTTCTCAAAATGGTCTTTTTATAGTTTTTAACCATAACAAAAAACAGTTGCTTTGTAGAGACCACGGTTCGGTTCATTTTTCGGTTCATTTTTCAAAAAAAAAGTTTTGTCTTTTTAATAAACACGGATCATGTGGACTCTCTGCTCTGACTGCCCCCCCCCCCGACCTAGAAATGGATAAGGGGAAGGAAATGGAAGGCATATTCCATCCATCCTGGTTAAATACGTCCGCCCGGTGCTGAATTTAACCAGCACTTCAACCGGTTTGATTCTCCCCCCTCTCCATCTGCCCCCCCTCCCGCCCCCACCTCCTCACACGTCCCCAGCCCAGTGGACACCGCCCAGTGGACACTGCCTCCGGCTGCCCCGGGCCCTCCTGCCCCCACATCCCCGCCCCCCACCTCTGACAGTACACCCCAGTCCCCCCCCCCTCTCCATCACACCGGACCAGGTGAGGAGTCAGCTCCAGCGCCTGAAGCTGAGGAAATCCGCAGGACAGGACGGGATCAGTCCCAGGCTGCTGAGGACCTGTGCAGACCAGCTCTCTGGGGTCCTCAGCTACATGTACAACCTGAGCCTCAGCCTGGAGAAGGTCCCTGTCCTGTGGAAGACCTCCTGTGTGATCCCGGTTCCTAAAACAGCACACGCCAAGGAACCGGCTCACTACAGACCAGTCGCACTGACCTCCCACCTGATGAAGACCATGGAGCAGCTCATCCTCACCCATCTCCGCTCCGTGGTCAGCCCCACCCTGGACCCGCTGCAGTTCGCCTCACAGAGCAGACTGCAGAGGCCTCACAGAGCAGACTGTAGAGGCCTCACAGAGCAGACTGCAGAGGCCTCACAGAGCAGACTGTAGAGAACAAACACTGGACACAGGACACTCAGGAGATCAGTTTCAGCGACAGACTTATACACCCTCACTGTGCGAAGGAGAGGTTCTGCAGGTCTTTCCTTCCTGCTGCTGTCAGACTGTACAATAAACAATGAGGACTAACACTGCCAATCCTACCTCACATGTCGTGTCGAGCTGATACACTAAATTATGATAGTTGCGTCGGCCAGAAGCTAACCAGTGCCTCGAACACAAAAGTACAGTTTACATAAAAACATGCTTATTAACCTAATCATCATGCAAATTAGATCACATTTGCATATTTAGCATGCTAACCATTGTTAACTAGCTAGTCTTCTTGTTGAATCAGGACCATTCAGCTAACTTCATATCCTGCAGAATTTTTTTCTTCCCACCTGATGAAGACCATGGAGCGGCTCATCCTCACCCATCTCCGCTCCGTGGTCAGCCCCACCCTGGACCCGCTGCAGTTCGCCTACAGACCCAATATCGGAGTAGAGGACGCCGTCATCTACTTCCTGCAGCGGACGCTCTCCCACCTGGAGCCCGCCAGGAGCGCTGTGAGGGTCATGTTTTTCGACTTCTCCAGTGCTTTCAACACCATCAGACTGGCACTGCTGCAGGGGAAGATGGAGGACGCGGGAGTGGACAGTAGCCTCACTGCATGGACCATCAACTACCTCTCAGACCGACCACAGTACGTGCGGCTGCGCAGCTGTGAGTCTGAGGTGGTCGTCTGCAGCACTGGGGCCCCTCAGGGCACTGTCCTCTCACCGTTTCTCTTCACCATCTACACCTCAGACTTCACACACGACACACACAGCTGTCACCTGCAGAAGTTCTCCGACGACTCCGCCATCGTGGGCTGTGTGTCTGAGGGGAACGAACTGGAATATCGGTCGGTTATCAAGGACTTTGTCGACTGGTGTGAGCGCAACCACCTGTGCTTGAACACCAGTAAGACCAAGGAGATGAACATCGACTTCAGGAGAAAACCACTTTCCCACACGCTGCTGAACATCCAGGGGGAGGACATTGAGCTGGTGGACAGCTTCAAGTACCTGGGTGTTCACATTAACAATAAACTGGACTGGTCCATAATACAAACGCCCTGCACAAGAAGGGCCAAAGTCGCCTCTTCCTTCGGAGGAGGCTGAGGTCCTTCTGAGGAGGCTGAGGTCCTTCTGAGGAGGCTGAGGTCCTTCTGAGGAGGCTGAGGTCCTTCTGAGGAGGCTGAGGTCCTTCGGAGGAGGCTGAGGTCCTTCGGAGGAGGCTGAGGTCCTTCGGAGGAGGCTGAGGTCCTTCTGAGGAGGCTGAGGTCCTTCTGAGGAGGCTGAGGTCCTTCGGAGTGAGCAGGCCTCTGCTCAGGACTTTTTATGACTCTGTGGTAGCTTCTGCCATTTACTACACTGCCGTGTGCTGGGCCCCGGGCAGCACAGAGCGGGACAGAAACAGACTGAACAAGCTGGTCAGGAGGAGGTGAGGGACAGGAGGCCCCTGGACTCTGTGGAGGAGGTGAGGGACAGGAGGCTCCTGGACTCTGTGGAGGAGGTGAGGGACAGGAGGCTCCTGGACTCTGTGGAGGAGGTGAGGGACAGGAGGCCCCTGGACTCTGTGGAGGAGGTGAGGGACAGGAGGCTCCTGGACTCTGTGGAGGAGGTGAGGGACAGGAGGCCCCTGGACTCTGTGGAGGAGGTGAGGGACAGGAGGCCCCTGGACTCTGTGGAGGAGGTGAGGGACAGGAGGCCCCTGGACTCTGTGGAGGAGGTGAGGGACAGGAGGCCCCTGGACTCTGTGGAGGAGGTGAGGGACAGGAGGCCCCTGGACTCTGTGGAGGAGGTGAGGGACAGGAGGCCCCTGGACTCTGTGGAGGAGGTGAGGGACAGGAGGCCCCTGGACTCTGTGGAGGAAGTGAGGGACAGGAGTTCCCTGGACTCTGTGGAGGAGGTGAGGGACAGGAGGCCCCTGGACTCTGTGGAGGAGGTGAGGGACAGGAGGCCCCTGGACTCTGTGGAGGAGGTGAGGGACAGGAGGCCCCTGGACTCTGTGGAGGAGGTGAGGGACAGGAGGCCCCTGGACTCTGTGGAGGAGGTGAGGGACAGGAGGCCCCTGGACTCTGTGGAGGAGGTGAGGGACAGGAGGCCCCTGGACTCTGTGGAGGAGGTGAGGGACAGGAGGCCCCTGGACTCTGTGGAGGAAGTGAGGGACAGGAGGCCCCTGGACTCTGTGGAGGAAGTGTGGGACAGGAGTTCCCTGGACTCTGTGGAGGAGGTGAGGGACAGGAGGCCCCTGGACTCTGTGGAGGAGGTGAGGGACAGGAGGCCCCTGGACTCTGGAGGAGGTGAGGGACAGGAGGCCCCTGGACTCTGTGGAGGAGGTGAGGGACAGGAGGCCCCTGGACTCTGTGGAGGAGGTGAGGGACAGGAGGCCCCTGGACTCTGTGGAGGAAGTGAGGGACAGGAGGCCCCTGGACTCTGTGGAGGAGGTGAGGGACAGGAGGGTGCTAGCCAAAGCCACCTCCATCATGAACAACACCTCCCACTGCACAGGACTGTAGAGGAGCTGAGGAGCTCCTTCAGTGGAAGACTGAGACACCCTCAGTGTAGGAAGGAGCGCTACCGCAGGGCCTTTATCCCCACTGCTGTCAGACTGTACAATAAGTCACTTTAAATGATCACTGTGTGAAAACCTGCACTACTATTGACACTGTTTCCAATTGACACTTGTCACTTTTGTTGTACATAATTATTGTCACTTTATTGTACATATATCCTGCATGTAACATGTTTGCACATTTCCTCCTTTGCACAATCTGAGTGTCTCTATCCATGCCAAATGTGACATGTAAATTTCTCCTCTGTGAGATAAATAAAGCAATCTTATCTTATCCATCCATCCATCCTCGCCGTGACCAGGCTGTGTGTGGACTGAACAACGTGCGCACAACTTTTTTTTCATAAATCAAACCGCGGATCACGTCTGTACCAAACCGAAGACGTTGAACCGAACGGATCACGGATCAGTGATGAACCTGCACCTCTAGCTCCATCCAGGCTAATATCGGGGGCTCCTGGCACAAATCCAAATAAACACATATTCCGTGTTCCTTTTGTCTAACTGATGTCAAACTGGATCCAGAAAGGCATTAATAAAACCTGTTCTTTTCCAATCCTTCTTTAACTGATAACAGTCGATATTTGAATTTCTAAATTACTTTTCCAGCCTCTAAATCTTGTTATTGTTTTCATTTCGATGTCCCGCCCTCCACCGTTTCACCAATCAGAAAGTCTGTGATCCGGGCGCCAGAACTCACCGCGTGGAGCTAATCTCACTGGTAAAGTACCATGTGGAGCTAATCTCACTGGTAAAGTACCATGTGGAGCTAATCTCACTGGTAAAGTACCATGTGGCGCAGAACTAAAAAAGGTCTCGTTATGATTCTCAAATCATTAACGACAAAACAAGGAATAAATCCAGGATTCCTATCTTTGTGAAAAAGGTGTTGGTTATAGATTTGTTGTTGACTAAACTCTTGTCTATTCAGCTGTTATGGTCCCAGCTGGATTCGTCTGCATATCTGGCAACCTGAGTCAGGGAGAGTGGGACAGGCTGCAGTACCACTTTTGGCCACACGTTTACACACTGCTCCTTTAAATCCTGAGCCTCTATAGATCACCCATGAGACCCGTTTCTCTTTATATAAAAAAGTACACTGCTCTTTAAAAACCTGGATCTTCCCCATTTTAATATTGACAGTAACGATATAAAAATCCACAAAAATCTTTTCTGTGCTTGAACCGAGCGCGAGGTGAAGAGGCCTGAGCGGCTCCGGGACAATCTTCTTCATTTCACAGATTTGGATCGAGGTAAATACGGATAAAGCCGTATTAGAAGTGCAGCTCTAAACCTTTTCCTTTTTCTCGTTTTATGTGAAGCAGCAGCGCAGCCCGCGGCTCGCTGTTTGAAGTCAGCCACGATTTGTTGAAGTGAAATAAAGTTTTGGTCTGAATGAAGGTGAAGGGAGTAATGTCTGCAAGAAAATCATTATTTTGATTAAAAGCTGTGAATTCCAACGGTCTTTTTCAGGAGACCTTTAGTTTGTGCGAGAAAAGACTGAAGTAAAGTTGTACTTTGTGGGACTCTTTTGGAACAGGACTCTACAAGATTAACACATCTAGAGACTGAAAGTTTTCCTCATTTAGAGACCCCCAAAATGACTCTGGGTCTTGTTCCACCCAAAGTCAAATCTATTTAGACAAAGAATAAAAAACTGATAAATAAGTGTATTTAAAAAGGTGCATACTTTAAATGTCTCCATCGTGAGATCAAAAGAATCCATAGAATTCTACATTTTAAAGGTTAAAACAAACCAAATGCTCGTTTTCAGAGACAACATTTAAGTTAAAAGTGATATTTGGTTTAAAAACGTTTACAGTTCAATTACAATATGAAACGATTGAGTTTAAAAAAGTAAAAATAAATATAATTTGTTTAAGAAAAATTGAAAAACGTACAAAAAGTTCGAGGTGTTTGAAAACTACAGTATCCTGCTTCTGGAACAAATCCCTAAAAACAACTTGACAATAAAAACAAGGTCAAAATCTGTAAGAAATTCAATACCAGAGCGAGACCAGAGAGAGACCAGAGAGAGACCAGAGCGAGACCAGAGAGACCAGAGAGAGACCAGAGAGAGACCAGAGCGAGACCAGAGAGAGACCAGAGAGAGACCAGAGCGAGACCAGAGCGAGACCAGAGAGAGGCCAGAGAGAGACCAGAGCGAGACCAGAGAGAGACCAGAGCGAGACCAGAGAGACCAGAGAGAGACCAGAGAGAGACCAGAGAGAGACCAGAGAGAGAGACCAGAGAGAGACCATAGAGAGACCAGAGCGAGACCAGAGAGAGACCAGAGCGAGACCAGAGAGAGACCAGAGAGAGACCAGAGAGAGACCAGAGAGAGACCAGAGAGAGACCAGAGAGAGACCAGAGAGAGACCAGAGAGAGACCAGAGAGAGACCAGAGAGAGACCAGAGAGAGACCAGAGAGAGACCAGAGAGAGACCAGAGAGAGACCAGAGAGAGACCAGAGCGAGACCAGAGAGAGACCAGAGAGAGACCAGAGAGAGACCAGAGAGGGAGCCGAGAGACCAGGAAGGGAGATCAGAGAGAGAGACCAGAGAGAGACCAGGGAGGGACCAGAGGGACTAGAGAGAGACGAGAGCAGAGAGAGAGCAGAGAGAGACAAGAGAGTACAGTATCCTGCTTCTGGAAGAAATCCCTAAAAACAACTTTGAGTGAAAGGACGATAAAAACAAGGCCAAAATCTGTAAGAAATTCAATAAATGTATTTTGAAAAAAATAAAATAATCACTGTTAAACCAATGTCTCTTGCAGTGCTTCAGATTCAGTTGTTATGAAAACTGCCCTTGGTTCAATTTGAAATTAAAGCAATAATTAGCAGCTATTAGAGTTGACTTTGAACGTGCCGCACAAACATTTAACTAAATTGACTTTAATGAAGCAATTAGGAATAACCAGGACCCAAGAGGAACATTGTCCAATACACACCAGACCATTATCATTACCAAGAATCACATCCTAATGGCCACAAAGGACCTACAACTGGTTTTAGACCACTGAGTCATACATGAAGAGACCAGAGCGAGACCAGAGCGAGACCAGAGAGAGGCCAGAGAGAGACCAGAGAGAGACCAGAGAGAGGCCAGAGAGAGAGACCAGAGAGAGGCCAAAGAGAGACCAGAGAGAGACCAGAGAGAGACCAGAGAGAGACCAGAGAGAGACCAGAGAGAGGCCAGAGAGAGAGACCAGAGAGAGACCAGAGCGAGACCAGAGAGAGGCCAGAGAGAGACCAGAGAGAGACCAGAGAGAGACCAGAGAGAGGCCAGAGAGAGAGACCAGAGAGAGGCCAAAGAGAGACCAGAGAGAGACCAGAGCGAGACCAGAGAGAGACCAGAGAGAGACCAGAGAGAGGCCAGAGAGAGACCAGAGAGAGACCAGAGAGAGACCAGAGAGAGACCAAAGAGAGACCAGAGAGAGACCAGAGACCAGAGACCAGAGAGACCAGAGAGAGACACCAGTGAGAGACCAGAGAGAGACCAGAGAGACCAGAGAGACTAGAGAGAGACCAGAGAGAGATCAGAGAGAGACCAAAGAGACCAGAGAGAGAGACCAGAGAGAGAGGCCAGAGAGAGACCAGAAAGAGGCCAGAGAGAGGCCAGAGAGAGACCAAAGAGAGACCAGAGAGAGACCAGAGCGAGACACCAATGAGAGACCAGAGAGAGACCAGAGAGACACCAGAAAGGGGCCAGAGAGAGACCAGAGCGAGACCAGAGAGAGAGAGACCAGAGAGACACCAGAGAGGGGCCAGAGAGAAACCAGAGAGAGACCAGAGAGAGACCAGAGAGAGACCAAAGAGAGACCAGAGAGAGACCAGAGAGAGACCAGAGACCAGAGAGACCAGAGAGAGACACCAGTGAGAGACCAGAGAGAGACCAGAGAGACTAGAGAGAGACCAGAGAGAGATCAGAGAGAGACCAAAGAGACCAGAGAGAGACCAGAGAGAGACCAGAGAGAGAGAGACCAGAGAGACACCAGAGAGAGACCAGAGAGACCACTGGGTTCTCCTCTTTGTGTGTGAAATCCAGTCAGAGACGATGTGGTTTCTCTCAAATCGCTGCTTTGAAATGTGTCTTATTTGGGTTTGTTTCTGGAGGCGAGCTGCGTTCTGAAATGAAAACCTGATTTTCTGTTTTTTGCCGAAGGTTCGTAATAAAGTCCTGTCTTGGAGCAGATCTGAGTTTGAGGAGGAAGAGGTCAAGATTTTTTTTATTGACAAACAGAAATTATCCCAGAGCTGAGGGCCACGATCCCAGGTCCATCTTTAACTGGGGCCTCAACATGTGATTGAGAGACCAGAGAGAGACCAGGGAGGGAGATTAGAGAGAGACCAGAGAAACCAGAGAGAGAGACCAGAGAGAGAGACCAGAGAGAGACCAGAGAGAGACCAGAGAGAGACCAGAGAGAGAGACCAGAGAGAGACCAGAGAGAGAGACCAGAGAGAGAGACCAGAGAGAGAGACCAGAGAGAGACCAGAGTGAGACCAGAGTGAGACCAGAGTGAGACCAGAGAAAGACCTGAGAGAGACCAGAGAGAGAGACCAGAGAGAGAGACCAGAGAGAGAGACCAGAGAGAGACTCCAGAGAGAGACCTGAGAGAGACCAGAGAGAGACCAGAGAGAGACCAGAGAGAGACCAGAGAGAGAGACCAGAGAGAGAGACCAGAGAGAGAGACCAGAGAGAGAGACCAGAGAGAGAGACCAGGGAGAGACCAGAGAGAGACCAGAGTGAGACCAGAGAGAGAGACCAGAGAGAGACCAGAAAGAGACCAGAGTGAGACCAGAGAAAGACCTGAGAGAGACCAGAGAGAAACCAGAGAGACCAGAGAGACCAGAGAGAGAGACCAGAGCAAGACCAGAGAAAGACCAGAGAGAGACCAGACTTCTGACTTTAAACAAAAGTAACTGTTACACAAACGCTCATATTTTGTTTATGATTTTGGAAAATGAGGAAAACACCGTAAAAAAAACCTAAAACCCTAAAAGAATTTACGACACACAAAGTCTGACGAACACAAACTGATGCTAATATAGTTTATTTTTCTGTGTGTGTTTTGTTCCCAGCTTTATTTGGAGCATTTCTCAGAAGCTACACATGGTCCATGAAAGTCTACACATGGTCCATGACATGTGTGTATTGTATTGTGTCCTTGATAAAGATGAATAATAACAACAGTAACTCACCAGGCGACCTCCATCAGCGAAATGGGGACCGCTGCAGCGTAAATGGCCAAGTCTCCGTAAAGATACACAATCAGACAGATGTAGAACATGTTCACTCCAACTGAAACACAAACGCACAAAAGGCCTTAGACATTTATTACACAAAGAGGGTTCTGTGTCTGTGTGGTTTGGAAACATCACAGATAAAGAAAAGAGAGCTTTAAACAAGGTGCTCCGCTCTGCAAAGAGGACCGTGGGCTGTGAGACCAGAGAGAGACCAGAGGGAGACCAGGGGGAGACCAGAGAGAGACCAGAGAGAGACCAGAGAGAGACCAGAGAGAGACCAGAGAGAGACCAGAGGGAGACCAGAGAGAGAGACCAGAGAGACCAGAGAGCGACCAGAGGGAGACCAGAGAGACCAGAGAGAGACCAGACAGAGACCAGAGAGAGACCAGAGAGAGACCAGAGAGAGACCAGAGGGAGACCAGAGAGACCAGAGAGAGACCAGACAGAGACCAGAGAGAGACCAGACAGAGACCAGAGAGAGAGACCAGAGAGACCAGAATGAGACCAGAGAGAGACCAGAGAGAGACCAGAGAGACGAGGCAGAGACCAGAGAGACCAGAGAGAGAGACCAAAGAGACCAGAGAGAGACCAGAGAGAGACCAGGGAGAGGACCGTGGGCTGTGAGCTTCCTGTTCTGGAGGTTCTTTATAAATCCAGACTTTTAAACAAAGCTCTTAAAATCATCAATGACTCTTCTGACCACCCTGGGAAAGCCATGTTCCAGCTTCTTCCCTCTAATCTCCAATGTAGTTTTTATACTGCACATGGCTAATAAATGAATCTGAATCTGGAACGTTTACTGGTGAAAACTGATGTCAAGAGAGACATCAAGCAAAACCATGCACAGATTGTAAAGTGTCAAACCTCAACCTTTTTTTTGGACAGATAGTAATAAGTGTAACAATATTCACCTTAACTGTGTTATGTTTTTATATTTCAACATTTAATCATTATGCTTTTTTTTGTTTATTGCCTCTCTGCAAAAATTGATTTTAAAACTGCACTGGTTTTGTTCAGAAAAATCTAACAGAAAATGATCTATACTCAGGTTAAAGTCAAAATACCTTCATAAAGTAAAAACTGCATTTACAAATGTTCTTGATCAAAGATGATGCTTAAACACTTTTGTACTTTCGGCTCCTGGGAACTGTTATTGTTTAAATCCGGCCCCGACTACAATGAGTGTGACCCCCGCCTTAAAGAAACAGGAGCTTGTGAAACAACATTGATCAATTATTTCTATTTAAACACATATTTCTGAGTCAAATCTATGAAATCAAAGAGAGGAAAACAAAAAGCTAAATCCTAAATGTTATCTTTTCAGAGACTGTGGGCTGCTTCCTGCTGCAGATATCCTCAAATCTGGGTTGCAATTATCCGTCCCGCGCCCCCTTTTTGAGAACCACTGCCTCCAACTATCCACATCAGCGATGCATTAGTCAGGCCTGTTTCTGTCCGTGTGTTTATCTGGATCTATTCTCCGTTGGTGACTTTTCTGCGCAGAGATAAGTCAGATGTGGAGGACGTATGCTTCGAATGCTTCAATGTCCTTAGAAAGTGCTTTGGTCACTGTCTGTGTCCAGGATCTATGAGAGAGTGATGGATTGTGCAATGACAACAATAACATGGAAGAAGCTACAAAAACACCCAGTGGGAGATTCATTGGGGCCACTGTCGCCGCATGAAGGCCGCCGAACCAACAAAACTACCTCGGATTCAGAGACAGTTTACCTGCCATTTGCAGTAAAACCACATTGGAATACTTGTGCAAAAGTTCCCAGTGTGCACCAGACAAGTACACACATAAATCAAGAAAAAAAAGTACAAGAAACAATTGTAACAGTGAAAGCCATTTAAAAAAACGGTTTAAATACAAGGAACACAGACTGAAAACAGCTGTTAGCATGTTAGCACGTTAGCATACCCAGACGCCCTGTATCTCAGCGAACGATATCTGTTGCCAGAGGAAAGAAGCTGGAACATGGCTTTTCCAGGGGCCAAAAAGTTATTGATTACAATGATATGAAAACATTATCTTGATGCTTTTGATTTAAGTTTTTTCTTGTTTGTTTTGACCCTATAGGTTTCAGACTACACATGTTTGAAGACAGAGAATTAACCCTTTAATGGTTGAGATGCATTCACACACACACCAGACTCATTTTAATGTGGGGGAAGTGTCTTGCCTAAGGACACAACCACAGTTTACAGCCGCAGATGCCCGACTTTGTGTTCCCAGAGGGCTCCCATCACAGTACTAACCAGGCCCTGCCCTGCTTAGCTTTAGAGGTCTGACAGGATCTGGCTTTCACCTGTAGGTACGGCCACAAGTGACTCAAGACCCTTCAGAGACCGAGACCCTTCAGAGACCGAGACCCTTCAGAGACCGAGACCCTTCAGAGACCGAGACCCTTCAGAGACCGAGACCCTTCAGAGACCGAGACCCTTCAGAGACCGAGACCCTTCAGAGACCGAGACCCTTCAGAGACCCAGACCCTTCAGAGACCCAGACCCTTCAGAGACCGAGACCCTTCAGAGACCGAGACCCTTCAGAGACCGAGACCCTTCAGAGACCGAGACCCTTCAGAGACCGAGACCCTTCAGAGACCCAGACCCTTCAGAGACCCAGACCCTTCAGAGACCGAGACCCTTCAGAGACCCAGACCCTTCAGAGACCGAGACCCTTCAGAGACCGAGACCCTTCAGAGACCCAGACCCTTCAGAGACCGAGACCCTTCAGAGACCCAGACCCTTCAGAGACCCAAACCCTTCAGAGACCGAGACCCTTCAGAGACCCAGACCCTGCAGAGACCCAGACCCTTCAGAGACCCAAACCCTTCAGAGACCGAGACCCTTCAGAGACCCAAACCCTTCAGAGACCGAGACCCTTCAGAGACCGAGACCCTTCAGAGACCCACACCCTGCAGAGACCGAGACCCTTCAGAGACCCAGACCCTGCAGAGGCCGAGACCCTTCAGAGACCCAGACCCTTCAGAGACCGAGACCCTTCAGAGACCCAGACCCTGCAGAGACCCAGACCCTTCAGAGACCCAAACCCTTCAGAGACCGAGACCCTTCAGAGACCCAGACCCTTCAGAGACCCAAACCCTTCAGAGACCGAGACCCTTCAGAGACCCAGACCCTTCAGAGACCCAGACCCTGCAGAGACCCAGACCCTGCAGAGACCCAGACCCTTCAGAGACCCAGACCCTGCAGAGACCCAGACCCTTCAGAGACCCAGACCCTTCAGAGACCCAGACCCTTCAGAGACCCAAACCCTTCAGAGACCGAGACCCTTCAGAGACCCAGACCCTTCAGAGACCCAGACCCTGCAGAGACCCAGACCCTTCAGAGACCCAGACCCTGCAGAGACCCAGACCCTTCAGAGACCCAGACCCTTCAGAGACCCAGACCCTTCAGAGACCCAGACCCTGCAGAGACCCAGACCCTGCAGAGACCCAGACCCTGCAGAGACCCAGACCCTGCAGAGACCCAGACCCTTCAGAGACCCAGACCCTGCAGAGACCCAGACCCTGCAGAGACCCAGACCCTTCAGAGACCCACACCCTTCAGAGACCCAGACCCTGCAGAGACCCACACCCTTCAGAGACCCAGACCCTGCAGAGACCCACACCCTTCAGAGACCCACACCCTTCAGAGACCCAGACCCTGCAGAGACCCACACCCTTCAGAGACCCAGACCCTGCAGAGACCGAGACCCTTCAGAGACCCAGACCCTGCAGAGACCCAGACCCTTCAGAGACCCAGACCCTTCAGAGACCGAGACCCTTCAGAGACCCAGACCCTGCAGAGACCCAGACCCTTCAGAGACCCAGACCCTTCAGAGACCCAGACCCTGCAGAGACCGAGACCCTTCAGAGACCCAGACCCTTCAGAGACCCAGACCCTTCAGAGACCCAGACCCTGCAGAGACCCAAACCCTTCAGAGACCCAGACCCTTCAGAGACCCAGACCCTTCAGAGACCCACACCCTGCAGAGACCGAGACCCTTCAGAGACCCAGACCCTGCAGAGGCCGAGACCCTTCAGAGACCCAGACCCTTCAGAGACCGAGACCCTTCAGAGACCCAGACCCTGCAGAGACCCAGACCCTTCAGAGACCCAAACCCTTCAGAGACCGAGACCCTTCAGAGACCCAGACCCTTCAGAGACCCAAACCCTTCAGAGACCGAGACCCTTCAGAGACCCAGACCCTGCAGAGACCCAGACGTCTGATCTTCCTGTGGTTGATCTGAAAGCCCTTCTCCTTGGACCCGCTGTCTGTCCCGTAGCTCCATCACGGCTCTGCGGTGCCAGCACAAATATTAATAGTTTTAATTAAAAGCTAATCTCCGCATGAAGGATGTTCCTCTGTCAGAGTTTGGACGGCGGCTCTGAGCCATCAGCCCCGAGACTATTACACAAACTTAACATTCTTATTCTTGTCGACAGCTTCAGATGGCTCTTAAATGGATGGCTATTATTAATGCTAGTGTTAGCTTAATGCTAAAGGGCTGGACGAGCACATTGCTACAAGACTCAGCTTTAGAGGAAATGTATGTACTATAGTCCTGGGTCTACAGCCTCAGTCCTGGGTCTACAGCCTCAGTCCTGGGTCTACAGCCTCAGTCCTGGGCAGAAATCTCCAACAGCAGCGGTGACAAAAGCCCATGAAACCAACGGGTCTCATTATCCCGGTGACATTTCGCTGCTGCTCGGGGGAGATTTGATTAGTGAATGTGTCCTTCTCATTCCCAGCAGAAAGAAAAGCATTTGAGCCGAGGACAAGATGTTAATGTCCAGTATTTTATCTTTTCATAATAGACACTCTGCAGATAATGAAACGGGGGTGACTTTAGTAGTGCTCTTGTTCTTTGTGTAAAATCTTCAATGGCAGTGATTATTATGAGAGCCGCTGATTATCTGTAGAGATAGAGGATCCCAGAGCACAGAGATAAGTTTCAAATTACAAGTGCAGATATTTTAAATGAAATCGTTAAGGTCGGCGCCGTTATTGTCGTTCGGGAAATCCTTTCTGTTCAGAGAAGCTCGAGAATTGCTCGAGATTTGTACGAGGGCCAAGTTATTGTAGTTTTATGTAACAACGCTGCAGAAGGGGATGGGAAATAAGTCGTAATTTTCTCAGATTTGGAAAAAATGTGTCTTAACTCAGTGACTGCCGGCTGTTTTTTGATGATTTCACTGATTTTCAAGACCCACAGAATATTGTGCGCTATGACTGTGTGAAATATGAAACCAGATTCTGAAAGACTGGACTGTCTACTTTCATCAGCAAAAAAAAGTTGGTTTCTAGCTAGTTTTGTTCTTCTGTGATCCACAGTTGGACAAAGGGAAGAATGACAGAAATCTCCAGTCTCAGACAAATACGTCCATGGGCGTCACTGAGTTAATCTGAGACATTCTGACTGAGCCTTAAAACTCAATTCTCCAAAGGGACAAAGAAAAATGATCTTGTTTTGAAAAGATACAGAAAAGTCTCTCTTGGAAAAGACTAAATGGCTTTGTCCCATCGGAGAATCTAGTTTTAACACAGACAGAATGTGCTCGGACTAAGATTAAAAACACTTGATCCACTACTTTGATATATTCTGGTTCTGTTTATAAATGTGCTCGGACTGTAGGGTTTTTGCAGATACTGTTTTTATCTCTTCTTGTGGACAATAAAGTTTAACCTAATCTTATTCCAATCCATCATTGGGACTGACTTTAACACGAGGATTCCCAGAGGCGTCAATTCAACGATTTATATCTCATTATTTTCATGACATTATCAAAGTGTTTTTTACATTTATTTATTATTTCTTTATCCACATTTAGAAACATTAGTCTCTGCTTCTTGTGGATCAATGTCTCTTATGTGTTTTTTAGTCTCTGTGTTTGGACCGTTTGATTTTCTGATCTGTGTTGGCGAATCCACAACTTTGTAAAGTCTTCCAAGAAACTACTGTCGTGATTTAGAGCGATAAAAAAATAAAAGTTATTGAATCGTCAGGTGTTCTACCATTACCTAAAATACAAATGTAGTGACTTTCTTTCAATGGCAGTTAAAGCCTGGACCAGTCTAGGACTGAAGCCTGAAGGTCGTGGGTTTGAGTCCACCACGACACCTTCTCCACCGACTCCCACTGTCTGCTGTCGTTGTGTCCTTAGGCAAGACACTTCACCCCCATTGCCTAGAATGAGTCTGGTGTGTGTGTGAATGGTTGGTGGTGGTGGGAGGGGCTTCTGTCAGTGTGCCCCAGGGCAGCTGTGGCTACAGTAGTTCATCACCACCGTGTTTGGAGAGAGAGAATAATGTGAAGAGACTTTGACAAAAGTGTTGTATAAAACTGATGCATTATTATTATAACTTTTGGGAATTATTAAAAGTGAGTAAAGAAAACCTTATAAATTTGCGCTGGAACCACAGTTTTGAAAACGAGGAACTAGTTAAGAAAGATTTATTACATTGTTCAATTGTTTTTTGGTTTGGAAGTTACGTAACCCAGCTTTAACAAACCAAAAGCCCCTCCTTTTACCACATTCAGATTCTTTTCTATTTGTCGTAAAAACCAATGAAACACAAGTCCCCGTGTGCCGCAGAACAGTCCATCACAAAACAAGGTCAAAAGAACAAGAATGAAACAAGCTTTAAAAAAAAAAAAGGGCAGGAAACAATTGTTGTAAAATCGATCAACAAAAACAGTTTGGAGCTGCTTCAACGAGATCACAAGATAAAAACCCAGAATAAAAACCAGGGTCTAGGAGACAAGAGCAGTATCTTCTGTGATTCAGCAAAGTCAAACCACAGAAACTGCAAATGTCCCGCTCTCTGTGAATCTATTAAACAAACTCTTTCATCTTTGTCTTGTTGAAAGAGTGGACATGGGGTCGCGCTCCATCACCGTCCTCCTCGTCCTGCAGCCGTTGGTTCCAAAGTGGGTCACACAGAGTTAGACTGAGTTAGGTTTAAAAAGAGGCGGAGTCTAATGTGATCTTTAGAGGTCAACACGACAGAGAGTGATGAAAAATAACTTAAATATTGCTCAGATTTGGCAAAATGTGTCTTAATTTAATCTCATTTTCACTGCTTTGACCAAGATTTGTTAAAGCACTGCAAAAAATGATTCAAAATGACGTAATAATTGCTTGAATCAAGAAGTTTTTTATCCTAAACCTTTCCCTCTTTTGAGTAAAAAGCTTTGTGCGGCCTTTTTTTGGGTTTAATTTCTAAGGTAAATTCTTATCTTCAAGAATAAAAAGTTCAAATGTCAAAAAATAAACAATGGCTGCAGGTTGATATTTTGAGAATTGCACATTTCGACCAAGTGGTAGAGATGCCCCGTTGTTCCAGATGGATATCGTGACTCAAAATGAGGTCGACCAAATGTTTGAGGAAACCATTAAAGGGTTAAAACAAGACTTTCTGCTTTGTCCCATTGGTAAATCTAGTTTTCAGGCAGTCAGAATGAACTCGAATCTAAAATTAAACACTATAACAAAGTTTGGCACCTGGGGCTCCCGAGGTCTCCCATCACAGCATTAACCAGGCCCTGCTCTGCATAGCTTCAGGTATCTGCCTTTCATATGTAGGTGTGGCCTCAAATACAATCCAGTTGAGATTCTTCTTCTCCTTCTCCTTCTCATTCTTCTCCTTCTCCTCCTCCTCTTCCTCCTCCTCCTCATTCTCCTCCTCCTTCTCCTCCTCATTCTCCTCCTCATTCTCCTCCTCCTCATTCTCCTCCTCATTCTCCTCCTCCTCATTCTCCTCCTTCTTCTCCTCCTCCTTCTCCTCCTCCTCATTCTCCTCCTTCTTCTCCTCCTCATCCTCCTTCTCCTCCTCCTCCTTCTCATTCTCATTCTTCTCCTCCTCCTCCTCCTCCTCCTCTTCCTCTTCCTCCTTCTGCTCCTCCTCCTCCTCCTCTTCCACATCATCTGTGGTGTACCACAGGGGTCGATCCTGGGACCTCTCCTATTTAATCTCTACATGCTGCCGTTAGGTCAGTTAATACAAAGAAACAAAGTGTCCTACCACAATTACGCTGACGACACTCAGATCTATGTCTCACTGACTGCAGGAGAACATGGACCACTGGATTTGCTCCTTCACTGTATCCAACAGATCAGTGACTGGATGCAAAATAATTTCCTCCAGCTAAATGCAGACAAAACCGAAATCATTGTCTTTGGTCCCCAGAAACAAAGAGAGGGCGTCATTTGTCAACTTCAGTCTCTCTCCCTACTTCCTTCAGACAAGGTCAGAAATTTGGGGGTAATACTGGACTCAGACCTAAATTTCAATAGCCACATAAAATCAATAACATCAACAGCTTTTTACCATCTGAAGAACATTGCCAAAGTTAGAAATATAGTGTCCAGGGCAGACTTGGAGACTCTTGTCCATGCATTTGTCTCCAGCAGGCTAGACTACTGCAATGGCCTGCTTACAGGTCTGTCCAAACAGACCTGTAAGCAGCTGCAGTACATCCAAAATGCAGCAGCTAGAGTCCTGACAGGAACCAGGAAGTATGACCATATTAGTCCGGTCCTCAGGTCTCTGCACTGGCTTCCTGTGGCTCAAAGAATAGATTTTAAAACGGCTCTGCTTGTGTACAAGTCTCTCCATGGCCTTGCACCAGAATACATTAGTGACATGTTGGTGTCATATGAACCGGCCCGGACTCTGAGGAGCACAGGGACTGGCCTCCTGCTGGTGCCCAGAGTGAGAACCAAACATGGGGAGGCTGCGTTTCAGATCCATGCAGCTAAGATCTGGAACAATCTCCCTGAAAATGTGAGGGAGGCGTCTACTCTGTCAATGTTCAAATCCAGGTTAAAGACTGTTCTGTTTGCCTGTGCATACAACTGAAGGATTTTATCTCCATTTTTAATGCACTGCTGTCATTTATTTATTTTTTTTAAATTTCTTGTGGAATTTTTAAAGTTTTAATGGTTTTATTCTTTTGTGTGATTTTAATGTTTTAATTGTGTTTTAATCTTTTGTGTGATTTTAATGTTTTAATTGTGATTCTGGTGTTTGTTTTATGTGATGATTTGTGATGTGGACTGTGAAGCGCTTTGTGTTGCCCTGTGTATGAAAGGCGCTCTACAAATAAACTTTGATTGATTGATTGATTGATTCCTCTTCCTCCTTCTCCTCCTCCTTCTCCTCCTCCTCCTCTTCCTCTTCCTCCTTCTTCTTCTCCTCCTCCTCCTCCTTCTCCTCCTCTTCCTCCTTCTGCTCCTCCTCCTCCTCCTCCTTCTCCTCCTCTTCCTCTTCCTCCTTCTCCTCCTCCTCTTCCTCCTTCTCCTCTTCCTCCTCCTCCCATCCCCATCTCTACAGCTACATCTCTAGCTCCTCTCCCCATGAGCTGCATAAGTTTGACATTTCAATAAAAGTCAGTGGAGTCTTAAAGATGGCCGCCGCAGTGTGGATGGCTCTCGTTAAGACACAGTTCATTAGTATTCAGCGAGAGCACAGAGAGGAGCGAGAAGACGAGAGGACGAGAGGACGAGAGGACGAGAGGACGAGAGGACAGAGAGGAGCGAGAAGACGAGAAGACGAGAGGACGAGAAGACAGAGGGGAGCGAGAAGACGAGAAGACGAGAGGACGAGAAGACAGAGGGGAGCGAGAAGACGAGAGGACGAGAGGACAGAGGGGAGCGAGAAGACGAGAGGACGAGAAGACGAGAGGACAGAGGGGAGCGAGAAGACGAGAGGACGAGAGGACAGAGGGGAGCGAGAAGACGAGAGGACGAGAAGACGAGAGGACAGAGGGGAGCGAGAAGACGAGAGGACGAGAAGACGAGAGGACAGAGGGGAGCGAGAGGACGAGAGGACGAGAAGACGAGAGGACGAGAGGACAGAGGGGGGCGAGAAGACGAGAAGACAAGAAGACGAGAGGACAGAGGGGAGCGAGAAGACGAGAGGACGAGAGGACAGAGGGGAGCGAGAAGACGAGAGGACAGAGGGGAGCGAGAAGACGAGAGGACGAGAGGACAGAGAGGACAGAGGGGACAGAGGGGAGCGAGAAGACGAGAGGACGAGAAGACGAGAGGACAGAGGGGAGCGAGAAGACGAGAGGACGAGAAGACGAGAAGACAGAGGGGAGCGAGAAGACGAGAAGACAGAGGGGAGCGAGAAGACGAGAGGACGAGAAGACGAGAGGACAGAGGGGAACGAGAAGACGAGAGGACAGAGGGGAGCGAGAAGACGAGAGGACGAGAGGACGAGAGGACAGAGGGGACGAGAAGACGAGAAGACGAGAGGACGAGAGGACAGAGAGGAGCGAGAAGACGAGAAGACGAGAGGACGAGAAGACAGAGGGGAGCGAGAAGACGAGAGGACGAGAAGACGAGAGGACAGAGGGGAGCGAGAAGACGAGAGGACGAGAGGACAGAGGGGAGCGAGAAGACGAGAGGACGAGAAGACGAGAGGACAGAGGGGAGCGAGAAGACGAGAGGACGAGAAGACGAGAGCACAGAGAGGAGCGAGAAGACGAGAGGACGAGAGGACGAGAGGACGAGAGGACGAGAGGACGAGAAGACGAGAGGACGAGAGGACGAGAGGACGAGAGGACGAGAGGACAGAGAGGAGCGAGAAGACGAGAAGACGAGAGGACGAGAAGACAGAGGGGAGCGAGAAGACGAGAGGACGAGAAGACAGAGGGGAGCGAGAAGACGAGAGGACGAGAAGACGAGAGGACAGAGGGGAGCGAGAAGACGAGAGGACGAGAAGACGAGAGGACAGAGGGGAGCGAGAAGACGAGAGGACGAGAAGACGAGAGGACAGAGGGGAGCGAGAAGACGAGAGGACGAGAGGACGAGAGCACAGAGGGGAGCGAGAAGACGAGAGGACGAGAGGACAGAGGGGAGCGAGAAGACGAGAGGACGAGAGGACAGAGGGGAGCGAGAAGACGAGAGGACGAGAGGACAGAGGGTAGCGAGAAGACGAGAGGACGAGAAGACGAGAGGACAGAGGGGAGCGAGAGGACGAGAGGACGAGAAGACGAGAAAACAGAGGGGAGCGAGAAGACGAGAGGACGAGAGGACGAGAGGACAGAGGGGAGCGAGAAGACGAGAGGACGAGAGGACCGAGGGGAGCAAGAAGACGAGAGGACGAGAGGACAGAGGGGAGCGAGAAGACGAGAGGACGAGAAGACGAGAGGACGAGAGGACAGAGGGGAGCGAGAAGACAAGAGGACGAGAAGACGAGAAAACAGAGGGGAGCGAGAAGACGAGAGGACGAGAAGACGAGTGGACAGAGGGGAGCGAGAAGACGAGAGGACGAGAGAACGAGAGGACAGAGGGGAGCGAGAAGACGAGAGGACGAGAAGACGAGAGGACGAGAGGACGAGAGGACGAGAGGACGAGAAGACGAGAGGACGAGAGGACGAGAAGACAAGAGGACAGAGGGGAGCGAGAAGACGAGAGGACGAGAAGACGAGAGGACAGAGGGGAGCGAGAAGACGAGAGGACGAGAGGACGAGAAGACGAGAGGACGAGAGGACAGAGGGGAGCGAGAAGACGAGAAGACGAGAGGACGAGAAGACAGAGGGGAGCGAGAAGACGAGAGGACGAGAAAGACAGAGGGGAGCGAGAAGACGAGAGGACGAGAGGACAGAGGGGAGCGAGAAGACGAGAGGACGAGAAGACAGAGGGGAGCGAGAAGACGAGAGGACGAGAAGACGAGAGGACAGAGGGCAGCGAGAAGACGAGAGGACGAGAAGACGAGAAGACAGGGGAGCGAGAAGACGTGAGGACGAGAAGACGAGAGGACAGAGGGGAGCGAGAAGACGAGAGGACGAGAGGACGAGAAGACGAGAGGAAGAGAGGACGAGAGGACAGAGGGGAGCGAGAAGACGAGAGGACGAGAGGACAGAGGGGAGCGAGAAGACGAGAAGACGAGAGGACGAGAGGACAGAGGGCAGCGAGAAGACGAGAGGACGAGAAGACGAGAAGACAGGGGAGCGAGAAGACGAGAGGACGAGAAGACGAGAGGACGAGAGGACGAGAAGACGAGAGGACAGAGGGGAGCGAGAAGACGAGAGGACGAGAAGACGAGAGGACAGAGGGGAGCGAGAAAACGAGAGAGGACGAGAGGACGAGAGGACAGAGGGGAGCGAGAAGACGAGAGGACAAGAGGACGAGAGGACAGAGGGGAGCGAGAAGACGAGAGGACGAGAGGACAGAGGGGAGCGAGAAGACGAGAGGACAGAGGGGAGCGAGAAGACGAGAGGACGAGAAGACGAGAGGACGAGAAGACGAGAAGACGAGAAGACGAGAGGACAGAGGGGAGCGAGAAGACGAGAGGACGAGAAGACGAGAGGACGAGAAGACGAGAGGACGAGAAGACGAGAGGACAGAGAGGACAGACGGGAGCGAGAAGACGAGAAGACGAGAGGACGAGAGGACAGAGGGGAGCGAGAAGACGAGAGGACGAGAGGACGAGAAGACAGAGGGGAGCGAGAAGACGAGAGGACGAGAAGACAGAGGGGAGCGAGAAGACGAGAAGACGAGAGGACGAGAGGACAGAGGGGAGCGAGAAGACGAGAGGACGAGAAGACAGAGGGGAGCGAGAAGACGAGAGGACGAGAAGACAGAGGGGAGCGAGAAGACGAGAGGACGAGAAGACAGAGGGGAGCGAGAAGACGAGAGGACGAGAAGACAGAGGGGAGCGAGAAGACGAGAAGACGAGAGGACGAGAGGACAGAGGGGAGCGAGAAGACAAGAGGACGAGAAGACAGAGGGGAGCGAGAGGACGAGAAGACAGAGGGGAGCGAGAAGACGAGAAGACGAGAGGACGAGAGGACAGAGGGGAGCGAGAAGACGAGAGGAGCGAGAAGACGAGAGGACGAGAAGACGAGAGGACAGAGGGCAGCGAGAAGACGAGAGGACGAGAAGACGAGAAGACAGGGGAGCGAGAAGACGAGAGG